GTAAGTTATATGGTAGATTTATTTAAAGACTTTATTTACTTATTCATTAGATACACCCCCGAGAGAGACAGAGACACAGGCAGAGGGAGAAGCAGACTCCCTGTGGGGAGAGCCCCACTCAGGGACTCGATCCCAGGACCCCAGGATCATGCCCTGAGCCAAAGGCAGACACCCAACCGCTGAGCCACCCAGGTGTCCCTAAGGCAGATGTTTTTTAAATGAGGTTTAAGATAGTCCCAGGGTTCCTATACTTAAGGGTTAAAGGATTGCTGTAACTAGAAAGAAAGAAAATGTTCGCTTCTTGCATTTCAAAACAAAACAGGGGGATCCCACGGAAAACCGTGGCTCAGCGGTTTAGAGCCTGCCTTTGGCCCAGGACGGGATCCTGGAGTCCCCGGATCGAGTCCCACGTCGGGCTCCCTGCATGGAGCCTGCTTCTCCCTCTGCCTGTGTGTCTGCCTCTCTCTGTGTGTGTGTGTCTCTTGTGAATAAATAAATAAAATCTTAAAATAAATAAATAAATAAATAAATAAATAAATAAATAAATAAATAAATAAATAAATAAATAGAATCAAAACAGAACTGACGTGAAGCTATGCTCCTCAAACCCCACAAGGGGGCGCGAACCAGCTAGTCGTGATCTCAGAGGCCTGTTCAATTGTCCCTGCTTCCCATCCCCACCCACTTTTGACTTTCCCTTGGTCCCTGTGCACACCCGCCTCTAAGCAACAGGAGAGGGCTAGCTAGACCAGTCCTTATTCCAGGGCCTCTATTATATTAAAAAAAAAAAAAAGAAGAAATGCCAACACAGGATTTGGTAAAAATTCTGGTATATTTTAGATGTTTTACATAGAACCATCACACATATGTAATAAATGATGTATGTATGGAAGACTTCATGCATTCTAGGCTGTATTTCTGAGATTGTTGGGCATTTTCTGCATCTCTCCCCAGGGGACCATCTCCAGCTGAAGAAACATCCACCTGCCCCTCCCAATGTCACACACACACACACACAGAGGTTCAGCAAGGTGAGATGTCAGTAACTCCCAGTTTCTCATGGGCTCCAGCCTGTAGGGCTCCCAACAAACAGCCTTGTAGGTTTCCGAACAAAAATCCAACAACTTCATCTAAGGGGACAAACTGGACACAAAGCTAAACTATTCATCCAAATGTGAACATTTTTAAAGATAAGAGTTGTTTTGGGGTTTAAAAAAAATGATTCAACCATATGCTCTGGTTCTGTCATAGCAAAGAGCCAGGTGGGACCTCTGGTCGTCAGATTCCTGGGTTCTGTGAGTGGTTGTCATTTGTCAGAAACTGGATTTTGACTCTAACTGCCTTGGACTGGAGAAGCAGCCCAGGGAGAGCACAAAGGTAATCTTGCATAAGTGATGAGCTTCTGAAGAGCGTCCCAGAGGAGCAAGGCCAGTGTGTGCAGAGCATGCTCAGTGACTGCTACCCAGCTGAGTGCTGCAGGGAGGAGAGTCTGGGGAAGGGGCCCATCACAGCTCAGGGCTTCCTATACCTTCAAAACTTCAGAATGGCTAGAAGAGGAAGTCTCTGCTGCTCCTCATATTTTTTTAAAGCCAATACTTTGAGGGGCAGGGTGGAAGTCACATGGAAATCCTACCTCCCTCCAAGATTTCTGAATATTCAGTTTGGCATTATTTTGATTCAGAGGTGAGAAAAGAGAGAAGACCAAGTACAGGAGATGTCCATGAAGATGATATTTATTCATTTTGTTATTGCTATTATAACTCACACGGAACCCACTACGAACCAGGCACCGGTCTAAGCACATGGCACTCCCAACAACCCTCTGAGGTAGATATTACTAACATTTTTTGAAGTTGGGGAAAATGAAGCACAACGTGGGTGGGTGACATGATGGACCTAATCATGCCACCCCACCCTCAATTAATATGCTGAAGTCCTAACCCTCAATGTTTATATTTGGAGGTAGGCCCTCTAAGGAAATCATTAAGGTTGGATGAGGTTATAAGATTGGGGCCCTGATCTAACAGGACTGGTGTCCTCATAAGGAGAGGAAGAGACACCACATGGACATGGAGAAAAGGCCACGTGAGGACACAGCACGACAGTAACAGTCTATAAGCCAGGGAGAGAGTCCTCACCAGAAACCAACCCCGGCGGCACCTTGCTCTTGGACTTCCAGCCTCAAAAATGTGAAAAAAAATCAATGTCTCACCCCTCTGGCTGCAGTGTTCCCTTATGGCAGACTGATATGGGTCACCTGCCAGATACTATTCCTTCCACTCCATTCGGGTGGTTCTTTCCTCCCTGTCATCAGCTCACACACATGCTGATCTTACTTTGCCCTCCCTCTGCGCACTTGCAGAGTTCTCTGTGTGGGGCTCCCTTCTCTCCTGGAAAGGCACTGCAAGCTCTTGCCACTGTCGTCTCCCCAGACTCCCAGCTCCATCTCCTCAAACAAGGGAGAAGTGCACTGGGCTCCACCTGGGTTCTCCCTCCACATACCACAGCCTGGAAGTTCTTGAAAGACAGTAAGCTGGGGTGATCATAGGGCTACCCTTGTTTGTTTCCCCTCTTGGAGTCCATTGGCCTTCCTTGCTTGATTTCCCCTATCTTGAAAATTTCTTTCACATATAGCCTTTTTTTTTTTTTTTGGCTGTTTCAAGTAGCAAAGTAAATCTTTTTATCACTCCATCTTAGTTGGAAGTAGAAATCCCCCACTCATTCCTTCAAATGGATTTTATAATTTTCTTCATGTAGGTCTTATGAAGACCTTCTCAATCTGTTTCTAAATACCTAATTTTTATTGTTGTAACTATTTCTTCTCATCTCCATTCCTATGTACTTATTTCTAGAGTGGATAAGCTGTTTATGTAATGTTCACACATGCATATTGACTCTTGTATATGTAATACTTGTCAACAGATGTCCTGAAATGGACATTGGTCATAAATTTATTAAGTGGCAAGAAACAGGAAGATGAGAGGTAGGCACCTAGAGCTTGTGTAGATACTCAGCAATGCCAAGAGACTCAAGCTCTGTTCCACTCTCCTCAGCACACTGACTTTCAACCTCATGCTTAATTCATGGCACAACACGGCTGCTACACCAGGGCCCCTGTCAGTGATCCAAGCAGGGGAAGCAGGGAGTGGCAATTCCTTTACCAAGAAATCAAAAAGTTTCTCAGACTAAATTAGTTGGTGTCTTATTAGCCAGGACATTTCACCACCTGTAATATCAAGTCAATCTGGAGAAGCAAATGTTTGGCTGTAAATTTTACTGCAAATTCACCAAAAAAATCAGGGTTCTGGTGGGTAAAGAAACGAGAATTGATATTGGACATACAGCTAACAGGTCTGCAAGCTACTCTTGCATTCTTATTTTAAAAAAACCTTGCTGGTTTTTAGTGGACTATGCTTTTAAATACACTTGACAATGTTTTAACTCTTTAAAGCTATTGCAATATTCAGGATCAAAGACTTGAACTAAGTGTAAATGGAAACAGAAACACATATTCAATATATGTTAAGAGGCAGCATCAAGCCCCTGTGATCAGACCTAACTGCACATAGCAATACTAGAAGCAAGCAGAAACAAAATGAGTGTAGAAATAGAAAGTGCTACATAATTTAAATATAACCAGTGATATTAAGTGTTAAAATTGTCTTTAAACACAAATGCGGGGCAGCCCGGGTGGCTCAGCAGTTTAGCGCTGTCTTCAGCCCAGGGTGTGATCCTGGAGACCCGGGATCGAGTCCCATGTCAGGCTCCTTGCATGGAGCCTGCTTCTCCCTCTGCCTGTCTTTGCCTCTCTCTTTCTGAGTGTCTCTTATGAATAAATAAATAAATAGAATCTTTAAAAAAAATAAAAAATAAAAAAACACAAATGCGGATGTATTTGTGAAATTTTCTCTTTCAGATTTGGGCTGTCCTCATTTTAAATAACATAGAAAAAATTATACCAATCTTTCTCTCTGGAATTTATTAAACCTATTGTTGTGATTATAGTGGTCTTTATCTCTGATACTGAAACATTTATAGACAAAATTATACATTTAATATTGTTTCAAAATAACATGGGACTCCCAGAGGTGAAAGTAGGCAGAAATGAAGATGAAACAAGACTGGCCAGGAGTTGATGATTATTGAAAATTGGGTATATGGAATTCATTGTATTATTCTGTCTTCTTTTGACTGTTTTGAATTCCCCATAATCAAAAAAAAATTTTGTTCATGCAATGAAAGCATGTAATTTTGCATATATATACAAGTATATACACACACACACACAAATATTTGGATTTTTTTTGTTTTACGAATATTTGTTTTAAATATTAGTGCTGGGATCCCTGGGTGGCGCAGCGGTTTGGCGCCTGCCTTTGGCCCAGGGCGCGATTCTGGAGACCCCGGATCGAATCCCACGTCGGGCTCCCGGTGCATGGAGCCTGCTTCTCCCTCTGCCTATGTCTCTGCCTCTCTCTCTCTCTCTCTCTGTAACTATCATAAAATAAATAATTAAATAATTAAAAAAATAATTAAAAATAATTTTAAAAAAATATTTAAAAATAATTAAATTTAAAAATTAAATTTAAAATTAAATTTAAATTTAAAAATTAAATTAAAATTTAAATTTAAAAATTAAATTAAATTTAAATTAAATAAATTAAAATAATTTAAAAAAAATATTAGTGCTTAGTAGGGATTCTATTCCGCAGGATATTTGCTTTTTATAAAAGGAACTGTATGTGGTCAATATTCATGGGAAGATAGTTCTGCTTCCCGACTTGTTCATAAGAGGCCACGGGTAAAGAGAGGCCTCCAGTAGCCATGGCCACCTTCCTTCTCACTGTACTTAGCTTCACAGTCTACAACCTCAAAAGGTTGCTGAGTCTAGTTCTAGATTTTTGTCAGATTCATAACAACACTCAAAGCAATGACTAATTTATGTATGCTGCCAACAATCCTAAGCCCAAAATGCTTCAAAGATTAAATAGTCATACACATTTAAAATACATAGAAAAATAATTAGTATTTGTACAAAGTAGATTTTTTACAAAACAAGTACGCTGCCTCTTAAAATACATCTTACATCAAAGCACAGAAATGTGGTAATATACATGGAAGCATATGTTTAAGAAGAAGCATTTATTTGTAAATGCTGAGTGGGCAAGCATAGTAGACTGAGTGCTGGTTTCCTGGGATAACTTTGAAGAGAACTTCAATTTCCTAGCATTCTCAAGCTTCCAGAAACAGTTCCTGAAGGGATCAGACCGCTGTTCCTCTCTCCAAATTCTGTTTAATTTCAGCTGTATATTTCCCATAGAATCTTTCTGCCTTCTTGTTGAATTTGGCATTCCTTTCGTTAATGTAGTCAATGTCTGCATCATCATTATAAGGACGTCTCCGGCTGTACTTGTCTCGTTTTTCAATTCTGAAGGAAGAAGAAAAAAATTTACAAAATTCAAAATTGCCTTCTTTTTTAATCTTAATAAAACATGCCCAAATAGTTAAGAGTAGAATCAGTGCACTTAGAATAGCACACTTGAGGGTTGGGGGTGCGGGCAGTTTTTATCAAGACCAAACTGAAATTGCTAATTGACAACACAAACCCCAGGAATGAACCCTGAAATTCAAAAATACAAACTCATCCTCAGAATCTTCTAAAAGAGCAATGATACACTGTCAGCCACTAGACACATGAATTTCTACTTAAAAGAAAAATACTTCTATTCGTAATAACCACAGCTAATATGAACGGAGTACACAGTATATATACTAAATAGTATTTTAATAGTTGTATGTATTAACTCCTAAAATATAAACTAATTCTGCTCTGCCTAATATTCATCCATGTCAGTATTAAGAAACACAAATATAGCAAAGGTGCATTTACTAGAATATTCATACTTCTTCAAATCAAATAGTGGAATGCTTATGAAGGTAAGAGCCCTTAAAGAATAATTTTCTTTGGGCCTTCCCTGCTCAATAATGACAACTCCATTTTGGCAATATTTTGTACCTCCATCCCAGATCATATGAATTTGACTCACACATGCTATCTGTCCCCAAAACTACTACAAACTCTGAGTCAGAAATGAGGAAGAATGGTATCTGCTCTTCAATTTACTCTATGCACACTGTGTCCATTTTGTCATTAAACATTTAAAAGTTCAGGCTGCTGTACTGAGTACTCACTGTTTTTCCAGATCTATGACCATCCTATCAACCTCCTCTGTGGAAGGCACATGTGTTCCATGAAGAAGACTGTTGGAAGTTGGGAAAAACTCTTCTCCACTAAAAAGACAGCAAAACAGACTTAAAGTAACACTACACAGTTCCACGTTGGCAAATTCATTTATTTATTTTTCCACGTTGGCAAATTTAAAACTAAACTACCACTCCTGGTGAGAAATAAAATATATACATGTGTTAACTGTGGGATCCTACCTTAACTTTTAAAAATAAATAAGTAAATAAAGAATTGAAAGGGACCTAATATATTACCTCCTCCAGCAGCTTCATTCTACAGATTTAAGAGCCAAGGGCCAGAGGTTAAGGGACATGCTTCCAGATTTAGGTTCCCTTCCCACTAATGCAAAGGTCAGCAAACCACACTATGTGCTTTTGCAAACATTTTACTGGGGCCCAGCCACACCTATTTGTTCATGTATCCTCCAAGGAGGCTTTCACATCACAGCAGTGGAGTAGTTTTGATGGAGACCAAAGAGCCCACAAAGCCTAAAATGTTTACAGATGTTCACCCATCCCGGCACTAAGGCATTCTGTCTCCTAAAATATCTGAGTAACTATGATAATCTGGTTGTTAAACTCTCAACACCCAGTCTTAGAATGCCCAGCTAGAACGATAACCAGGTGGCTAGCCGAACTGCTGTGGAGTGAGCAACAAATAGTATTGTCAAGGCCAGAGAGCATTCTTAGACAGCTGCTGCTGACTCACACCCACGCTTTAAAGTGTGTTTGTATCTATGTACGTGTGTATGTATGTCTACACCACACACACGCCCCTATGTCCCTTCAGAATGAAAACAGGACTTGCATTAATCCTGTCAACTCACTGTTTTTCTCTCAGTCTCTCATAGGTTTCCATGTCAGGCTTGATCTGCTTCGTCAGCCGATGATACTGGCGTAACTGGGCAGCAGCATAATCTGAAGATAAAAGGAGAATTGGAGAAGATATATTTCCCTGTTTTGTCATTATGATCCAGAGAATATCAAAATCATTATTAGTTAATATTTGCACAAGACACTGAGTATAGCTTCTACCCTGAAGATGCTGCAATATGGGCTTTTGCTAGTTTTACCATAAAGAATAAAAGAATCCAGCTGGCTGAAGTATAGCTTTTTTTACTTCTGCTCTATGAGACATATTTGTATTTTTCTTGGGTTTAAGCATCTTGGAAAATATCCCACAAAGGGGCATATCCTTTTTTCTTTTGGGGAAGCAGGGGGCAATATCCTTTTTTAAAACCAGAAACTCTGAAGGTAATACTAATCTAACAGGGACATTCAGTAAAGGAATAATGAGCTTTACCTGAGAATCCCAGATCAGGGTTTTTCCTCCTCTTCTTCCTTTCCCATCTTTCTGCATCTTCTGCACTGATCTCCAGCAGCTTCACTTTCTCATAGTCCTCCCCTCTCGCCGCACACTCCTAAGAAGAGGGAAAACCAACCAGCTAATACCTGCAATGGTGACCCAAGCAAGTACTGAATCTATTTTAAATCAAGGGACGCCTGGGTGGGCTTAGTAGTTAAGAATCTGCCTTCAGCTACAGGCATGATCCCAGAGTCCTGGGATCAAGTCCCGCATTGGGCTCCCTGCATAGAGCCTGCTTCTCCCTCTCTCTATGTCTCTGCCCCTCTCTCTCTCTCTCTCTCTCTCTCTCTCTCTCTCTCTCTCTCTCTGTGTGTGTGTGTGTGTGTATGTGTCTCATGAATAAATAAATAAAATCTTTTAAAAAAAAGTTGAACAAAGATATCAGGCAATACTTTAAAACTAACGATTACTATTTGGAGGAAAACTGGGAACCTACTACAGTGTTTAAGAATGCCCACCTCGGGATCCCTGGGTGGCGCAGCGGTTTGGCGCCTGCCTTTGGCCCAGGGCGCGATTCTGGAGACCCGGGATCGAATCCCACATCGGGCTCCTGGTGCATGGAGCCTGCTTCTCCATCTGCCTATGTCTCTGCCTCTCTTTCTCTCTCTGTGACTATCATAAATAAATAAAAATTATTATAAAAAAAAAAAAAAAAGAATGCCCACCTCAATTTAAAACATGTACTCTGGGACGCCTGGGTGGCTCAGCAGTTGAGTGTCTGCCTTTGGTTCAGGGTGTGATCCCAGAGTCCTGGGATCAAGTCCCACATCAGGCTCCCTGCATGAAGCCTGTTTCTCCTCCCTCTGCCTGTGTCTATGCCTCTCTGTGTCTCTCATGAATAAGTAAAATCAAATAAATAATCAATCAATCGATCAATCACACATACTCAATGAGTAGCAGGTTCTAGGCCCCTCAGAAACGCTCTTCATGCACTGACTTGTTTACTTCGTCAGCAACTACAATGTTACAGCCCCCATTTTACAGATGAGAAAACAGAGGTACAGTGAGGTTAAATAAGTCCCCCAAAGTATTGTTGCTAGTAAAAAGCAGGGCCATCATGTGGACTCCAGCAGTCTGGTTCCACAGCCGGTGTACAAAACCATTTTCTACGGTCTTAATAGAATGACTATTATTAATAGAATGACTTAATAGAATGACTATTATTATGACTGAATAGTCATAACAGAATGACTGAGAGGCACCTGGGTGGCTCAGTGGTTGAGTGTTTGCCTTCGGCTCAGGTCATGATCCCAGGTTCTGGGACCAAGTCCCACATGGGGCTCCCTGCATGGAGCCTACTGCTCCCTCTACCTATGTCTCTGCCTCTCATTCTGTGTCTCTCATGAGTTAATAAAATCTTTACCAAAAAAAAAATAGAATGACTGAAACAGTAGAATGACCACTTATCAAGCCAAGAGTAGATCCTAACCTTCTTCTTTTCTTCTTCCTGCAGCTCCCACTCCAGACGAGCTTTCCTGGCTTCCCAGTTAGCAGGTAACTTAAGTCTTTTATCTTCTTCAACAACTTCCTGGTGATTTAATTTACGAGCTTCATTCTAAAACCATAATACAAAAAGTTTGTCAGCTGAGACATGAAAATAAATCCAAACAAAATCTTGCCCATTTAGAAAGGGTCAAGACACATTAACAGAGGGACTCTGTTTTATCCCAAAAGCAACAGGTAGCCATCAAAGGATTTTAAGCAAAGGAATGGCCTAATCAGGGTTTAAGATTTATTTATTTATTTGTATAGTAAATACAAATAAACACCTGCTTCCCAAGTAGGGAGCCTCTGCCTCCTCTCCTTCTCCTTCTCCTTCTCTCTTCCTCTCCTCTCCCCTCCCCTCCCCCTCGTCTTCTCCCCCTCTTCCTCTCCTCTCCCTCTTCCTTTCGTTCATTCTTCGTCTCCCCTCTTCCTCTCTCTCCCTCTTCCTCTCTCTCTCTCTGCGGACACCCCCTCCCCACCCCTTGTGCTCTCTATCTCAAAATATCTAAAATCTTTAAACAATAAAAATTTTTTTAAAAATGAACCTAATGGCACAAAACAGTATCAGCTTAAGGGACAACATAAATTAGATGTCTCTTAGATCACAGGTTGGCAGCAATTAGTCTAGGAAGCCATATCTCGTAACTTCCAACCACATGTACTTTACACAGTCTCTCCACATAAATATTTAAGTGTGTTTGATTCTTTATTAACTTTTTCTGGGCAAACATCTCCTCTCGACTACCATCCCTTGTACATTCTTGTACTCTCGGCTCTGGCAATGCCCTCCAGTTGAAAACACCAAGAACATACCTACAGTCAAACAAAGTTGTGTTTGCTGCACTGAAGGAGAGTAAACTACAGGAAACTGTAGGCATTTTGGTGATAGGGTGTTAGGAGAGGCTAGTTACAGAATTTGGGTTTTTATCCCGTGACTGGTATGGGAGGTAAGGCAGTGTGGCTCTGCTCTGGATGAGACACTCTCAGAAAGGCAAGGCATACGATGACTGGGTACCCTAAGTTTTTCAACAGGATTAATGGGGTGAGACTAATGCTGTAATTGGTCCTAAGAGTCACCGGTGTTAGCAGAAACGGGGAATGTGTGGTCATTTTTGTGGTCTGAACAGTATTGCTTTTGTCTCACTCCAATAGTCAGAGTGATGTTGGGGGTTTGTGAAACCACATCCAAGCTTTCGGTCAAACCACTTAGGTTGAAATAGACCAGAGCTGCTTTTTCCCTTCTCAGCTACAACTGCAGCCAGTTGTTTGCTGGACTCTTATCCCTAATATGAATTCCCTCACTTTGGACTGGATTCCTCTGCTTGGATATTTCTTCCTCCAATTTCTTTGTCTGATAATACCTTACACGTCTTCCAAACAGTTTAGGTCTCACGTCATATATGAGGCACTCCCTGGGAGCTCCTCAAACTGTATTCATCTCTCCTCCTCCCTCCCAGGGCACTTTGTTTCCAAAGCTAGCACACCATATAATTTCTGGCTAGAAAGTCGTCTCCTCTACTTAAGAGCCAAAGCCATATCATAATCATCGAGTTTTGCATCAACTGGGTAAGCCCCTGACACTACAGACTTTCGGAGATTTGCTGATTATTTTTGAATGAACAAACAATCAGCTCTCTTTTTAACATGGACGACTTTCTTCCAGTCTCTAGCTCCACATACCCCCTAGGTTAAACGAAGGGTTTGTTAGACTCATACAGCAGGCAGGCTGCTAGTAGTAGAGACTCCCAAAGTTTGCCCAGGTTCATTAAATCTGAAGTGGGTAGGAGGAGGGTTGGAGAGAGCATGTGTATTTTGAAAGGTGATTTCAACCTGCTGCCAGGATTGAGAACCACCGGGAAAGAGCTTTCATCCAGTTCTGCGGGTCAGGCAGGGGCGCTGGAGCGGCTCGCGCGTCCCTCCACAAAGGCGCCCGGGGGGGGGGGGGGGCAGGTCTCCGCTGCCTCCGGGGCTACTCACCCGCTTCAGGTGCAGCTCCCGGAATTTGCGCAGCCTCTGTTCGCGCTTCTGGGCGGCCAGCTCCGCGGGCGCCGCCGGGGGCTGCTCCCCCTCCTCCGAGCTGTCCACTGGCACCTGCGGCGAAGAGGACCCGCTGGAGTCGCGGCGGCAGGATCGATTCCCCGCCAGTCCTGCCAGGCCCCGGCCAGGCCCCCCCCCCACTGCCCCGACGTCACAGCGTCTGCGCCTCCCTGGCCCGGCGCTCTGGCCTCTCCCCCACCTCTCGCCCTTGCCGTCCCCCGGAGTCTGCCCCCACAAAAATCCCTGGGGGGGAGCCGACGGGACTTACCTTCTCGGCTAAAATCGCAGCAGCCATCACAAACTTTCTCTCGCCACTTCCGGCAACAACACAGAGCACTTCCGTCTGCCCGTGGGCCACCCGCCGATACGGAAGAGCATCCCACTGTAAGCCCCGCCCCTTCCTGATGGTCTCGGAGCTTCGGACCAATCCCTGCTCCTGTTAGCAGGGAGACGTTTTCGATTGGGCAGAGCCTTGCGCAGCCGCAAAAGGTAAAGTGGGCGGGGCCGGGGAGAGCGGAAGGGCACCTGCTTAGGAGCGACCCGCCAAACCTGGAGCCGGGTGCAAGGTCTCCCCAGCTGCGCGCCGCTCCTTGGAGCGAAGCGTCTTTGCCATTGAGCGCTTCGCCTCAGCGTCACCTGCGAGGCAGGTCTCCCCTCCGTGCCTCGTCTCACCTAGACCCTCAGGACTGTCAGGTCGCACCATTTTAATTTCCTTCCGTAGTGTAGAAATATTTCTCTCGTCTGGTCCCTTTCCTCCCCCCACCCCCCGCCTTCCGCTGTAGAACTGTATAAAATGTCTAGATATGGAGAGAAGCTGCATTTTCCTTTTTAAAACAAATAGCTAATGAACTCGAACTGGGCAAAAAGACCTTCCAGAGTGCCTGGGTGGCTCAGCTGGTTAAGCATCTGCCTGGGGCTCTTGGGCTCAGGTCGTGATCCCGGGGTCCCCAATGGAGCCACATCAGGCTCCCTGCCCAGTGGAGGGCCTGCTTCTCCCCTTCTCCCCTCTGCCCCTCCCCTCATCTCCCCTCCCCCCCCGCCCCGCCTCCCGCCCCGGCTTATTCTCTCTCTCTCTCTCTCTCTCAAAAATACGTAAGATCTTTTTAAAAAAATAAAAAGACCTCGAACTTTGCCAGAAACAGCAATTGTTTTAGGAGCAGTTGTTCATAGAGTCGACGGGGGCCGGCGTCTGACCGGGAACACTGTCAGCGTGGACTTCTCGAAGACAGTAATCAGTGCATACCATGGGTGGTTTCCTTCGTTAGCAACGGTAAATCAGTCCATCGAAGTGGAACCAAAAGCCATTGAGCCTGGTAGTACCGATTGGCAATTTTGTTTTCTTTTATTCAAGTCGTATAATTGTGTCCCCCCCCCCAACCTCCACTCACTTCCCCTTACTCATAAAAAAAAAAAAAAAAAAAAAAAAAAAAAACTTGCTTTCCCCCCCACCCCTGCACAGGTGACACATTTTTCTGGTGGCTGCTGGAATCTCTGCTGCCCGGATTGCAATTCTGATGAGACCCCAAATAAAGAGACGCCTTTGTTCTTGTTCAGTTTTGCTTTCTTCTGTCAGTTGAAGTTTATGGTGTCAGAATGGTGTGGGATCAGAAGCATCAAACGGCTCTGACTCCTGCAACAGTGGGGGATTTGAAGAGGTGGTAACTTAGTGCATTGTGGTGTATCCTCTCCCCCAAAAAGCTCCAGGTTCTCAGCCTCCTTTTTTTTCGGTTGAGGTTCAGGCCTCATTTCTTTGGGTGTCTTTCTGGTGCTGGCTTCTGTCCCGCGTTGGGCTCCCTGCATGGAGCCTGCTTCTCCCTCTGCCGGTGTCTCTGCCTCTCTCTCTCTCTCTCCTCTCTGTGTATTCTCGTGAATAAATAAATAAAATCTTTAAAAAAAGATTGCTGCTGGAGAGCAGCCTCCCTCTGGAAGCCCAGCTGTATTTATGTTCAAATATTATGGGCGCATTCCTTATAAGTTTCTGTCTTGTTGGACCAATCTGACCAAAAATGACTTGTGCTTACTATGACCACTTTGGAGATGTTCTGAGATTCCAAAATTAGTTTATCTGCATGCACAATTGGAAAATGAAAAAACAGAGCAACTAGGGATGGGAAGTGTATTTAAATTGGTATTTGGAGCCTCCAAGAAATTAAATAATTCTAAACTTGCTTCCTTATAAGAAAATAACTCTAAACTCTCTAAAGCTAACTGTAACTGCTCTCAGAGTATCTGAACTAGGAAAGCTTATAGAGTCTTTTGAGCTAACTGCTGCAACTGAGCAGCAGTTAGGTGGAAGCCTCTTCCACCTTCTCCTGCTCTCCACCTATAGAAAATTATAGTCTAGCTGAACTTACATCCTATGACAACCTGGAAGTTTCCCTAGGTCCTCCAGTCATCCAGACTCCTTCTAAAGTTAAGCCTAATGAAAGAGGCTCCGGGATATTATCAATTACTTGTATTACTTGGATTAAGGCAGAATTACAAGTTTTTATCAAAGCCTTCTCCCAATGCCCTTGAAGACCCTCTAGGATTTGCTAAGGAATTCAATTTAGTTATTCAGATCCGTGAACCTGTTATTCTGACCTTTACTGATTTATCCATATGCTTGTGACTGAGGGTCATGCAAGGGAATGGATGGGGAAAGTAGGATGGACATAGCATTTTGATGATTTTTCTAAATGAAAAGGCTACCAAAAAAAGATGCCTTTAAACTAGCCAAAGAATTACATAAAACTATTCTGGCAGTTTTTCCAAAGACCACAGATTAGAGAAAAATCCAATGATATACTCAACGGCCAGATGAACCTGGTTTATTATGATGATGATGATTGGAAAAAACTTTTAAACAATACTCTGGTATTGACAAAATTAAACATGAAATGTCCTTCTTAACTCCACCTTTGCTAATGGGTTAGACAGTGAACTTGGTCCTGTAGTTAAATGACAGCGACTCAGCTGGGCCCCTATGGAGCCTGATGATCTGGTTAACTTGGCTGATCAGTTATCTTGCACCAAAGAATGAGCAACAAAAAGAAAAGACTCATAAATCCAAGCTGCCCAGATCATGCATCTCCAATTACAACAATTAACAACCCCCAGAAATCCCCCCAAAATCTTCAGGGTCTTTCTCCTAAAGAAGGTGTTTGCAATTACTGCAGAAGAACCCGGCCATTGGAAGAAGGCTTGCTGCAAACCAACAAGACAAAATCAGTAGCACTTTCCCCTCTAAGGACACCAGCAGCTGGGGAAGAAGGCTCATATGACAGAACAGGGCGGCTCTGAGGCCAGGATGGGAAGTCTTCCCATGACCTCAAACTGACACCTTAGGGGAGAGAAATATTATTGTGAATGAGGTGATGGCAGCTTTTACAGACTCAGAAGCAACACGTCAATTCAACCTCACCAGCCTCTCTGTCCCCCTTGAGTACAGAAACGCTGCAAATGGTGGGAGTGGCTCATACCCCATGACAATTTTAAAATCCTTACCTATCCTTTTTTTAGCTGGAGACTTTACAAGGCACTCACCCATTCCTTCTGATCTCTATAATTCCTATTCACCTGTTAGGCCATGATTTTCTTGAGATTTTTCAGGCACACCTCAAAAGGGGTAAATGTGTTTTTTGTTTGTTTGTTTTTAAAGGCTCTAAAAATAGGGCAGCCCCGGTGGCACAGCGGTTTAGCGCCGCCTGCAGCCCAGGGTGTGATCCTGGAGACCCCGGATCAAGTCCCATGTTGCGTTCCCTGCATGGGGCCTGCTCCTCCCTCTGCCCGTGTCTCTGCCTGTGTCTCTCATGAATGAATAAATAAATAAAATATTTTTTTTAAAAAAAAGAGGCTAAATAAATAAATAAATAAATAAATAAATAAAGGTCCCTGGCTGGTTCAGTCAGTGGAACATCTGAGTCTAGATCTCAGGGTCACGAGTTCAAGCCCCACTTTGGGTGTAAAGATTACTTAAAAAGGGGAGGGAAGGGACACCTGGGTGTCTCAGCAATTGAGCATCTGACTTTGGCTCAGAGCGTGATCTTGGAATGCCTGGATTGAGTCCCACATCAAGCTCCCTACGAGGAGCCTGCTTCTCCCTCTGCCTATGTCTCTGCCTCTCTCTCTCTGTGTCTCTTACAAATAAATAAAATCTTTTTTAAAAAATAGGAGGGGGGAATGTTTTTGCAAATAGAACACACAAAATTCTATAGAAAAGCGCCTACATCAATAACTTTCTTTCCTGTAATTCAGAACCTACAGCACCACCTCCTGGACACTGTCCCTAACATTCTTTGGTCCAAAAGTCCTCCTGGACATTGTATACACTCTGTCCCTCCTATCTAAATGATCAGATTGATCGTTCCAAGCCACTCCCTAATATTAAACAACATCCTCTAAATTATGAGGCCACTCATAATTCCTGTAATCAAGGAATATATATATAAAGGTTTGATTATTCCATGCACTAGTCCTTATAAATGCCAATTTTTCCCATCCAAAAATCTCAACGGCAGAGGATGGCGATTTGTGCAGTATCTTAGAGCAATCGATAACATTGTCTTTCCACAACATACACATGTGTCTAATCTTCACACCTTACTTTCCACTATTCCCTCCAGACAGCAAATCTACACAGTAGTGGGTTTATGTAGTGCCCTCTTCAGCACACATGTGGACTCAGCCAATTTTTGCCTTCACCTGGGAAGGAAAATAATATACCTAGACAGTTATATCTCAAGGTTACACGGAGAGCCCTACTTATTGACCCCACACCTTTCTTTTTAAAAGATTTTATGTATTTGTTTGTGAGACACACACACACACACAGAGAGAGAGAGAGAGAGAGAGAGAAGCAGGGTTCAAGCAGGGAGCCCGACACAGGATTCGATCCCTGAACTCTGGGATCATGCCCTGAGCCGAAGCCAGACACTCAACCACTGAGCCACCCAGGCGTCCCTACCCCAAATCTTAAAAGCAGACATAGTTATGTAACCTTCCCTCACGATTCTATTTATTACAATATGTGGACTACTTTCTTCTCTGCTCCCCTTCATAAAGAGCTTGTTCAACAGGCAGTATCCAACTGTTAAAACAGTTAGCTGGAAAAGGACCATCAGTACCAAAAGAAAAATTACAATTTAAAATCTCCCAAGTTGGGGGGTAAGGGAGAAAAAATAAATTTAAAAAATAAAATGCCCCAAGTTAAATATTTGGGACATGTCATTAGTAAACAGGGATTTCTCTTCAATCCTGAAAATAAAAAGCATTGTCTCCCTTCCCCCCACCTTAAACCAAATAACAGTTGTGGGGATTCCTGAAACAAGCTGGACAGTACAAAATTGGATTCCTAATTTCTCTGCTATTGCTCAATCCTTAAATGCCTTACTTAAAGCACAGCAACCAGAGCCCCTCCGTTGGACTAAATTAAACCAACAGGCTTTTGATGAGGTAAAACACCTTGCTCAACCCCTGCTCTGGGGCACCCAAATTAGCAATTGCCCTTCTTCCTCTTTGTTCACAAACACAAAGGTAATGCTTTCGTAGTTTTGACAGAAAGACTAACGCAGGTCTTTAGGGCCCTCCAGTCAGCAACCAGACCCAATAGCTGAAGGACTGCCACCCTGCATGAGAGCTCGAGCAGCCACCACTGTTTTGTCAGAAGGCACAGAAGAACCAATCATGAATTCCCCGTTGATCGTTTAAGTTCCACGTTTGGTGGAAGCTCTTATCTGCTAGCAAATGATCTTCCTCTGACATTCTCCTGCTGTCAGCTTCAAACATCTCTATCACCAGATGTCACTCTTTAAACTCTGCTACTCTTTTTTTTTAATTTTATATTTAAGTAATCTCTAAACCCAACTTGGGGCTTGGACTCATAACCTAATATCAAGAGCCACACACTCCACTGCTGAGCCAGCCTGGAGCCCCTAAACCCTGCAACTTTTTTGCCTCGTGCCTCTGATGAGATTCCTCATGACTATATTACTGCAACTGATCTACTATTGATTTGTGGACTAGATCTTCAAGAAAGCCCTATCAAGGGCAGCCCGAGTGGCTCAGCGGTTTAGCACTGCCTTCAGCCCAGGGTGTGATCCTGGAGACCCAGAATTGAGTCCCACATCAGGCTTCCTGCATGGAGCCTGTTTCTTCCTCTGCCTGTGTCTCTGCCTCTCTCTCTCTCTCTCTCTCCCTCTCCCTCTCCCTCTCCCTCTCCCTCTCTCTCTGTGTCTCTCATGAATAAATAAATTAAATATTTTAAAAAAGAAAGCCCTATCAAAAATGCTGAATAATTTGGCTCACTAATAGTTCTCATTTAAGGGATAAAACGGGAAGATATCAGGCAGGTTATGCTGTAACCAGCTACAAAAGTTATTGAGGTTAATCCTCTGCCTGAGGCCTCTGTGGCTCAATATGTTGACTTGTTTTCTTTTTTCTTTTTTAGTATAGTTGATACATAATTTTATATTAGTTGCAGGTGCACAACATATTGATTCAACAAGTTTACAGGTTTTGCTGTGCTCACCAGAAGTGTAGCCTCTGTCTGTCAGAACCCAAGCCTACTATGGTA